TTTTGATTTTTGTTGTATAATATTCAATTTAAAATTTTGATATATTTGAATTTGGATAAAATAAATAGATTTTTATTTATTAATTAAACGTATATTGTAATTACAAAAAAAAAAGAAGCAATTATATGTATACTATAATTACACAAATATATTATTATTATTTTTTGAATTTGAAAATAATATTTCAGTCAAAAAATTTGACCGAAATTGTCTAAAATAACAAATTTCCTAATAATATTATCGGTCAAATTTTTTGGCCAAAATTGTTCAACATTTCCGGTCAAGATGAAATTTTGTCCGAATTACTATTTCGGGCAGTGGTTATTCGGATCAACAATTCGGTTAAATAATTTGGCTGAATTACTTCTTACTCGGTCAAAATTTGTGCTGATTCGGTCAAGATGCTTGACCGAAAAAGACCCTAATTCTAGTAGTGCAACAACTAAATTAAAATAAGAATTAAGAACATAGCTAAAAAAAAAAGACAGTAAAAACTAATAGAGCACTCAAGACATGAAGTTCACGATGTTACCGCTCAAAGAGATAGAGAACTCTAAGGGTAGAGTTTTTGTTCGTATAAGGGATAACTTCAAGCTGTACTCCGGAGCCAGAAACTTAAGTTAGGGGGGACAAAATTCTAAAATTTTTTATGAGTTGTTTAAGTTTTGTTTGACTATATTTTGTATAAACCTTTTTCACAACAATTTTTATAAAACTGTAAATTTGTTCTAAGTAATTAATATTTTACATTTGGTCAAAAAATTAATATTTTATATACTTTCATTATTTTTTATTAATATTTTATATATTTTTGGGATATTAAACAATAAAAAAACTTTTACTTATAGTACAATACTGATAAATGAAACCTTAACAATTTATATTAGTATAATTTATCTTAGTTTTTAAATAAATTACTCCTTTTATGCATGTTCTACTTATATCATCCACAACAAATTTTATATTAATAAAATATATTTAACTATTTTTGAATAACATAAAGTTTAAAACCATTACATATATAGTATAAAAATATAATTTTTTTTGGGTAAAGTTATATATATCAAATCAACTATGGTTTAATAAAATATATATCGTACTAATATATATAACTAATGTAAAAGCTTATGTAAATTTATCTCAATATAACTAAGTCTTAACTATTTTTTATATTTGTTCTTACTTAAATAAAATTATCATGTCTTTATAAAACTTAGTTACAAAGAGAAAAATGATTCTTTTCGCTTAGGTCCTAAATATTTTTTTATATTTAAATGGTCTCTATAATTCAAATTAACTTCAAATATCAAATTTTGTAAAAAATAAAAATTGATGTACCATATTTAATATTTTTCAAAAGCATAGGGGGGCAGCTACCCCCCTTGTCCTACACTAGCTTCATCCCTGGTTGTACTATTTTTTTAATAAGTTAATTAAATTATGTTATATAATTAAAATAAAAAATAAAATAAAATAATGTAGCCAATACAATTAATTTTATATTAACACTATAAAAAATTTATACTAAATAAATAAGAAAAGGAAAACAAGAAAATGAAAATTAATTTAAAATATAATTTATAAACAAAAAAATTCTAAAAATACATTATATTTTTATTTTATCAAAAATTCTAAATTTATATTTACCAAAAAAAAATATAATATATTTAATTAAGTTATTTTGTAATCAATAGTTTGATCAATTTAAAGGTAAAATTATAGATCAAACCATTTATATTGGTTTGAAAATTTGATAATCCAAACCACCTAAATTGACATTGGTTTGGCTTAAATTTTAATTATATTGGGTTCGTTTTGGTCGAATCAATCAATTTGAATTGGATATATGAGCAACCCTATGTACTTTAAGAAGGTCACTGGTTTCGGAATAGGCTGGTGGCTTTGGATTTTGATGCGCAAAGATTTGGATTTTTGATGCATAAGGATTTGGAGGTGGAAATCATGGAGTTTACTTGGATGGAAATCATGGGGTAAACTGAATGGTTGGTTCTTGGTTTTCAATGAGCAAAACCTAGAACGGCTTCGTAGAAATAGGATTCTCTAAAAGGCCATCACATCTTGGATGATTTTTGTAAAGCTTGTGAGATCACTGGTATTTAGTTTCCTTGGTGTTTGGATAGGTGTCGTCAGTGGCTCTTGTTTTGTTTATCTGCAAGAGATGGTTGGGTTGC